CAGGCTCGCTGGAGCCCGGGGGTGGGGGCGGTGGGGGGCAGTGGAGGGGCGGGGACCATGCCTGGACAGGTCCGGGGACTCCTGGGCAGTCCCTGGGGAAGCCTCTGCTCTGTCCCCTCCAGTGCCGGGGGCATCCCACACCAGGAGGGGGCGTTTCCTGCTCCTCCATCTGGTTTAGGGAGATGGGGACTTGAGTGCGAGACACCTCCCCCAAGGAGCTGAGGTGGGGACGGGGGTCATTGCTCAGGGAGACCAGAAGCTGGGGTTGGAGGTGGGTGGGACGGAAGCGCAGGGACCAACACCCTGGGCCTGGCTGAAGCACCTCCACAGCCCTCCCCAGGGGCGGGTTCTGGTGCCGCTGTTCAGTCACGGTGACAGGGCCCTCTGCCTGGACAGGCACAGGGTGCCGGACACTCTGCCTCCTCGAGCTGCCCGAGGCCTGGCTAATATTCTCGGGGGACGGCTGGCCATCCAGGTATCTGGTAATTGATGCCAGGTGAGGTGCAGCCACACACCCCTGACCCCATGAGGACAAAGGACACAGTGATGATGAGTGCAAGGAAGGACCTAGGACAGGCAGGAAGGGCAGGTGGACGGGTGGCATCCACGTCGGGACACCTGGTGCCAAGGTGAGCTGAGCGGATTCTCGCCTCCTTCCTAGGGGAGGCGCGTCTCGCTGAGCTCTCGTTTCCCGGGGCCCACCACACCTGCTGGGGGAGGGGAGCCTCCTGGGGGAGGCCACGTCCAGGCTGGGACACTGCAGCCCGCGCCCTCTGCGATACCACCACTCCAGCAAGCCGGGCTCCTGGTTAGGTCTGCAGTGCTGTGTGGCCTCGGGCACGTGCCTCCGACTCTCTGGGCCTTGGTTTCCTCTGGTGTTGCTGTTGTCACAGCTGCTTGGAGCCTGGATGTCCCTTTGATAGATGATGAAGGGGAGGCTTTGGTGTCTCAGGACTGACTGGTCCTCGTCATTCCAGGCATGCACATGCCACGAGAGCTGGAGCACGGGGTAGGCCTCGGGTTGAGCCGTGGCGCGTCCTTAGGCGCTCAGCAGACCCTGGCAGGTGTGTGCCAATTTCGCAGCTCAGGGCTCCATGGACACCGCGCACCAAGGGCCCAGCCTCTGGGCTCGTGTCCTGGGGGAAATGGACAGCTTCCCTCCCAGCCAGCAGGGAGGGGCCACCTGGACGAGGGACAGAGAGGTCAGGAGGTGGCTGGGCACTGCCCCGTGCAGGGTGGCTGCTCTCACTGGATGTCCCAGTATGGGGTGGGGTGGGGGTTCTGATGCTCCCCTGGGGATTCTAGCCTGGAGAAGGGCCTGGGGTCTGCTCTGGGGCTCTCGGTGCCACTCTCTGGGCTGGGTTTATGCCAGGTGGTGACGGGACTGTTTATTCTGTTGGAAATCACTTCTGTCCTCCCCGTGGAGTTGACCAGGAGGGGGAGGACTTTAGCTGGGTTGTGACTGGAGAGTGTCATGACCCCTATTAAAGGTCACATGGGCTCTGAGGGGAGGGGACCTATGGGACCTGATGGTGCCCTGTGGAGTAGGGAGGAGACAGGAAGCGGGAGGGAAGGGGCAGGGGGAGCCGGGGGCATGGGCTGCTCTATAGAAAGGGGGGAGTCGGCTAATGGGCCTCGGGGCTCGGCGAGCTGTGAGATGGGCTGCTGGTCAGGCCGCTGGACGCGAGACTGAGGCTGACAGGCTGGGGTCGCTGGGCTGTGCCATTGCTACAGCAGCCACCGTCACCTCCTGCAGCGGGTGTGTCCAGCGCAGGCTGGGGCCGGTGTAAGATGCACAGGTTTACAGACTTAGAACCCCCGGAGAAAAATCCGCTCTGAAAACAGTGCTGTCAAAATGTGGCCCTGAGGGTTGAGTAAAATAGTCTCATGACACAGGGAGTTCTAAACGATACCTGTGGCTCACGTGACATTGCTGGGGACAGCAGTGGTAAAGATGGCACAGAGGTCACCCAGGATGGGTGTGGGACAAGAGCAGAGGCCTGCGCCCATGGCCTGAGGCCAGCACCACCCTTGTGGCCCCAGGGACTTCAGAGGTCGGTGGGGGGCAGCTGAGAAGGTAGCAAGCCCAGAGCGCTGCCCTTGAAGCAGGCTTGGGGACACTCTGTGCTATGTGACAGCCTGGGTGCGTGGTGAGGGCTGGGGGGTCTCCAGGCATGAGTGCAGGGGTTCCAGATGCCTGGGGAGTCACGGTGGCTGCAGCCCGTGAACTGATGCTGGGGAAGTGGCGGTTGCAAGGATGTGGCATGAGGCGTTGAAGTGGGGGCAGCTGCCGTGGGAGCACTGGCCTCAGCTGCTGGGGACACGAGCGAGTGGAAAACCAATTCCAGGAGGGCAGAGTTGCGGGTGAGAGGCCGAGCGGTGGCTGGGGCACGGTGGGAGGCAGCTGTCACCACCCTCGGGTTGCAGGCAGACGGCAGGAGGACTGTCTGCCTGTGTCATGGGAGGGACCCCTGCTGATGGCTCTGGGCAGATCCTCCCGGGATGCCCCTCCTCCCTACCCGCCTTGGGGACTGTACCCAACCTAGGGACTTTGGAGGTCACATTCCTGCTGCAGCTTGTGGCTTTCAGGATGAAGGTAGTGTGAAACGGGGAAATGGAGAAAAAGGGGTTGACAGAGGGAGAAAGAAAGGTTGACGGGGAGGGGAGAAAGAAGGGAACTCTGTGCCCAGCAGAGCGCCATACTGGGAAGTGGCTGGGAGCAGAGTCCCTGAGCAGCCGAGGACAGTTTGCTCAATACCAGGCTGGAACTCAAGGATGCGGGAGCCTGGGATCAGCTGGGGTGTGGCCAAGGTGACCCAGGCTGTGCAGGACAGAGCCATCCCTAGGTGTTCATCCACCTGGGACTGGGTGGCTCAGTCAGCACTTGGACACTTCCTCGGCTCAGAGGACAAGCGCCCACGGTGCTGGGCAGTGGAAAGTTCTGGAAGTAAGCGGGGAGCTACAGGGCCTGGCATGGCACTCACACCACCCACCTCTGGACTCCGCCTTTGCCCTCCACCTCCAGTGTTCCTGGGCTCAGGGCTGCCTACAGGGACACCCTAGTGGCCCTGGGTGAGGACCCTCCGTCCCCTCATCCCCTTGGGCAGCTCTTATCCGGAGAGCCTTCCCTGGCTGTGACTGGTATGAACTTTGAAGCCCAGGTATTTAGGGAGGGGCACAGGGCGTGGCTTTCTCTTCCTCCTGGTCCCGGGTTAAAGGCCACTTTGCCCAAGAGGACTCCCAGGTCTAGCTCCTTGGCTCTTGGCCACTAGTGGCTAGAGACCAGGGACTCCACCAAGCAGGCTGCAGTGCACGGGCCAGGCCAGCAGTGCAGGGGTTGAGGCCTGGTCTGCGAGAGACCTCTGCCCCGCTATTCTTTCTCCAATTGCTGTTTATCCTTTGGTATTAACTTGGTGCCATCTGAAACAAACAAACAAACAAACAAAAAAAACAACTTTGTCCCTCTGCCTCACCATGAATGTACGTCTAACACAGGGGGGGTCCCTTTTGGTCTTGATCCCTGCCCTGTGCCCAGTACCTAGTATACAGTAGGTGCCTCGTATTTACGATTGCTCCTGTCCACTCAGATGAGGAGGGTTTTGTTTTCTTGGTGTGGAATTTTGATCCTTCAGCTCCACCCAGTGACATGGTAACTCTGGGATTTTATTCCATTTAATTCAAGCAAAATTGGGATGAGTTGACAGACTCTGGCTGTCACGTGGACTGGTGAGGGAGCTTTCTCAGGATGTTTGTTAGCAGTCCACCTCAACCTTGGTGGCTGATAAAGAGCTGAGACATCAGAGTGAGCATGTGACTTACAAAATGTCGCCATTTTTATTTTGTCACTGTAAAGAGGTTTAATCAACCAGATTGTAACAAAATTACCACAGCTTATTCCAAAAGAAAATTTTAATACAAGAGATTTTAGAAAATTAAACATTTTTGTTTAAAAATTCTATCGTGTAAACCATAACGTAAGAGGGTAGTTAGGAGCCTGCCCGCTGAGGCCCACTCTGTGCCCTGGTCACCTCTGCCCAGGCTCGGGGGCCCAGGGTCTGTGCTCAAGACTCCTCTGTCAGGGCCAGGTGAGGCCCACCCCCCATGCCCAGGCTGCGGTGGTCACGCCATCCTTTCTAGGTGACTGAGATGATGAAAGGCCAGTTAGTTCCTCTGCCACCCTCGGAATCCCCGCTCTCCAGGCAGAGAACCGGGGATGGCCTGCATGGGTCAGCTAGTGGCTTCCAAGCAGGGTGGGACACGGGCAGTGGAGGGAAGCAGAGCCCTGGGCCTCCAGCGGCTTCTAGTGGGTGTCCCCGTGGCACAGGTTCGCCCACTTTGAGAGAACGTGGATTTCTCTCCTAATACAACCTTCAGGTTCAGGGAGGCCTGTTGAACTTGTAATAATTGAGGGACAGAACTTTGAGCCCCCAAAATTGAGACGTGGCTGTCGCGAGACACACGGGGGAACCGGAGCCCTTCGAGGACTGGGGCGAGCTGTGGGGTCTGGTCTGCTTGGAGCTAGGAGCCTGAGGGTGCACCTCGTTCCTATGATCCAGTAGCCGAGGCTTTGTTACAGAAACATAATCGAAACTGTTACAGAAACATTAAAATGAACTTTTTGGCACAGAAATGTTAGATAAAATATACAGTGCTACCTTTGTGCAGGATTAGCTGATCGGAATAGCAAATATTTAACATTAGCTTTATGATGTAATGCACAATATTTTGAAAAACGTTCATTACAAAAGACCTTGTTCGTAAGTGGGTGCCAAGGGCCCGGCCTTGTCCAGGGTGAAGTGCTGAGCTGTCGGGACAGTTATTGCCTTTGGGGTTGAGACGAGAGCGTGAGGCTCTCCTGGGACGCCCCCCCAGCCAGGCTGCCTCATGGGGCAGGGATGCCAGTGGCCAGGTCTTTCTCGGGCAGGGTCTGGCCCATCAGTCGCACACCAAGGCCAGAAGGTGCTGCTGGAGCGGGGGGGGGGGGGGGGGCGCGGGGCGGGTGGTGCGGGGGAGGGCGTTTAGGGGGACCCCAGAGAACAGGGCCTGGCCTTCATGGGACAGGTCAGCTGGTGTCTCTAGGCTGCAGACAGGTGGAGCAGGAACATGGCCTGCAATGCTGTGACCCCATCCTCAGAGTGACAAATTGTCCCATGCAGAACTGAGAGAAAGCAAGGGCCCCAGATTCGGGCATCAGGAAACGCAGCCCACAGCTGCTGTGCAGGACCCACCGGGAGGATGGTGGTCATCCTTCCTATGCGTGTGTCCGGCTGGCACCAGGTAGGCCTCTGTTATCAACCAGACAGATAGAATGGTGGCAGGTGGGCTGTTGTGCCTTTAAAAAACAGGCGACGAAAGCTCAGAGTTCAGTGGGGGTTACATGTGCGTTGAACGCCTGTGAGGGGATGACTGCCATTCCAGGGCTTCCAAGATCAGAAGAGGGGGGCAGACCGCAAACCATGGGATTCCCGTAGCCTTTGGGCACATCCTCTTACAATTCACGTCGTGGAGAGCTGGACCCACTTTCCATGAATAATTAAAGGACAAGCACACAGTTGACTGTAGCTCTCGGGCGATTTTTTTGAAGTTCATGTGCAGAATGTTGAAGGAGGTTCCTGGTGGGGTGGCTGGGGAGAGCGAGGCCAGTGCACTCCTTGCCTGCTGATCGGGTGTCTGAGGAGGGTCCACCCTATGGAACACAGCAGGATGAAGAAGCCATCTCGGCGTAGACCCCCTGGTCAGGGGGGATGGTGGACAGACAGTCCTGCAGCCAGCCCCTGCCCTCGAGGGCTGTGTGTTCGTTCACAGGGGCCAGGGCTGCTCTGCTCAGTGAGGCCGCGTACGCCAGCAATTCTGGCACCTGCAAGCTGACGGCAGGGCCCCACGAAGCCCTCGGCTGCCTCTTGCTCTGCTGGGCATGTTGATGGCTTCCCTGTCCGCACTGGGGACCCTGCCACAGGAGTCTTCTGGGTGATGCTTCCTTAGGAAGTGCTCTGTGCTCACACCGGTGGCTCATTGAGATTTCAGCCAATGAACCGAGAGGGTTCAAGCACAAGCCCACAGTGGCCTTGCATGACCCCTCCCTCGCCTGTCATCCATGCAGGCCACGATGGCCCACTGGGCACAGGGCCACACACTCTAGCCCAGCCCTCGCACAGGCCCTCAGTGCGGAGGTGCCATGATTCTGAGGTGGAGCCACCTGACCCAGGCTGGCAGAGGACCGAGGGGGCTGCTGCGCTGGTCATCCTGCTCCCTGTGACAGGAGGGACAAGGGTTCCATTCCCACTGGAAGGGGACAGATGGCGCATCACAAACTGTCTTTGGGGAACAATCATGATCTGTTCAGGTGCCGTTTACAGATGGATCTGAGTCTGATAAACCTGCACTGGTCCCCCAAGCCAGGTCCATGACCTGAGGCCAGCAGTGCCTGGCCAGGCCTGGGTTGGAGGTTCGGAGCCCACACCCAGCCCGACGAGCTGCATCGTGGCCTCAGGGTTCCTAGGTGGTGCTGCTTCCTGCAGCCAAGCACCCAAGTTCAATGTCACCGGTGGCTCCATCACAGTCTGCGGGAATGTCTGCCCACAGGAGTGATACCACCGGGGTGTCCAGTGACCACTGATGGAGGGTAACAGAGCTCTGTCTGTCCAGAGGGTACAGCCAGGTGGTCAGGTTCAAAAGAGGCCAATTCCCTCGTGGGAAAGAGGCTCGGGTGGTTTCTGAGGGGACTGCCTGTGGAGCCTGGGCACTGTGCATTCCACCTGGGGACCCCCAGCCCGAGCAAGGAATAGGTGGCTTTGCTGCCCTTGGCAAGCAGTGGCCACGTGTGCCAGTCTGTCCAACGAGGAACCGCCGCACTCTCAGGACAGGGGCCTGGCAGCTCTGAGACTGACCAGTTTAATCAGGGTGGCATGTGGCCGGCAGGAAAGGTGTGCTCTCTGGGTTGACCAGGTGGACGTGGTCATCACTCCAAAGCGTCAGGCCAGCTGCCGTGGCCAAGTCAGGGACAGAGTGGCTGGGATCTGGATTCTGCTGAGGTCAGAGGTCACCGCTCTGGGGCTCCACGTTGCGCATCTCCCTGGGATGACCACGGGACAGCTTGGGGAAGCGGGAAGCCGCTTTGGGCCGGCTGTTCTTGTTCGGGGGCTCTCCGGGAGGGGTGATGTCACTGTAAGAGAGGAGGAGAATCGGATGGTTAGGGGCTCACAGGCATGGGGGGGACAACCACTACTCAGCTGAGTGGGGAAATGGGACGTTGAGTGCTATGACACTGAGGATCCACCCAAGCCAGCTGTGTGTCTGAGCAGGCTCATGAGGCCACATTCTGGACCCCATTTTAGGGTCATGAAGTAATGCAACCACCTTGATCTCCCAGCAAGGGCACGTTTCACAGCCAAAGAGGAGAAACTTCTCTGGAAAACATGTATTTAAGGTCATAAAAGATACGTAGCAAGAGACAGGACCCACAGGAGGGGACACTGATGTCACCAAACGCCTACCCAAAAGGATGGCCTGCAGACAGGAACCTGCCGCCTTTGCAACCCCAAGGGTAGTTACGACTCGGCACTGGAAGAAGGCGCTAACGCACAGTCTGGTGGGTGTGGCGCCAGCAGCTCCTGCTGAGTCCAGCTGCAGGATTGTCATTCTCTTTGCCATCAGGGCTCTTTAGTTTTGTGAGAAAGGGAGACACTGTGGGGGGAGACGGGGCTGGTCAGGGGTGACCTCTCCCACGAGCTGACATCTGAGCTAGGGTGTGAACTCGAGATGAGGGTGGACTTAGCCACAAGGTCTTCTGGTGGAGCGAGAGGGTCTGCAAGGTGGGGGTGGTCCCGGCAGCAGAGCTGTGGTGTACATGTGACCTAAAGACGGTATCAGAGGAAATTCGTTGAACAGTGGACAGAGTGAAGATGGAGACGGGGTCTGGGAACCACTGATGTGTTCTAATCCCTGCTCCAGTGGGTGGCACTTGACTCGGTGATGCCCAGAGTGGCTTCAAGGTCACGTTGACTGTGGCTCTGAAAGCCCAACAGGCCCATCCCCTGTTCCTTACCTTGAATCCACAACCCCAGCCCAGCCTCCCGCGCTGCCCTCCAGGCCCGCAACAGTGCCACTGGCTCCTGGGAGTGCCCAGCGTCCCGAGCGCCAGGCCTGTCTGACTCAGGCCGCCTCCTGTGTGGTCCCTCAGCAGCCCAGAGCTGATCCTCAGGAGAGCTCTGGCCGTGTTTGTAACCCAAACCTTTACAACACGAGCCTCCTGTGGACTGGGGCTGTCTGAGTTTCCACAGGGTCCTGCACCCTCAAGATCAGATCCCAACAGTCCCCTTTCAATACAGCTGGCGATTCTGAGTGTCCTCCACAGGTTTCCTCCCAGAAAGTGGGACGCCTTCTACTTGAAGGGTCTGCTCATCACAGACACAGCTCCCGCTCCCTCTCACAGGGGAGATATGGCAGGGGACCTCCCCGCCCCCTCCTTATCTCGGCTCTTCAGCTGCTCTGCACTTTTTGAAACAGACCCCTTCATTATTTTCAGGAATAGGTAGCTCAGAAAGTGGTGCAAAGTCGAAAAGTGAGTCCGCCCCACCCTGTCCTCCAGGCAGCCAGAGCTATCATCTGAAAAAAAATTTCAAAGAATCTTTCTAGAGCTATCTACTGCGCCCAGGAGCGTACATGATAGAGTGGATGGATAGGATACTTACTGATTGATTGTCCTTTCTAAAGACAGGGGAGTATTCGCTGCTGCGACTTCTCCCTCCTGTGACGCAAGCATGGAGAGCTGTCACTTCAGAGATCGACCGTGTCATTCTGGTGCCAGGGTTGGCAAACTTTAAAGGGCCAGAGGTAAGTGTTGTAGGCTTGGGGACCACCTGGTCTCTGTTGGAGCACTGTGTGTGAGCGGGAGTGGCTGTAGCCCAGTAGCGGGTGGAAGGCAGGACTTGGCCAGCTATCTAACCCCTGGGCATTAATCACAGCTGTATGACCACACGGTACCAAGGAGGCGAGGCCGCACCCTGCTCCTCACCCCCAGGTCAGGCTAAATGCTGGACAGACCTTGCTTGGCGACTCCTTCAGCCCAAGCAGCATCCGGAACACTAGCACGCCAGGCGCTAGATCCACCTTAAGTGGGTTCTCTAGAGCTGGGTGCAGCCCTCAGGGTGGTGCAAGGGAGGCATCGGGCTGGGCGTCCCAGGCGAGGCCCTGTCTCCACCCCTCACCACCATGCTGACTTGAGTAAGCGGCAGACCTCCACCTCTGAGCTCTTCCCTCTGCTGTACACCCAAGACCTGCCCAGCTGACCTCGCAGCTGCGGGCCCAGTCCCTGCCCACCACCCCTCTCTTGCCCCACTCTTTTCCTGGTCCCCTTCACAGTTGCCAACCCAACCTGTGCCTGGGGTAGAGTTGGGATCGCCTAGTTTTCTGCCACCCTGGAGCCAGGCCCTGCCTGTCGAGTGCTATGTAGTCTCCCCAAGCCCCTGGCACAGCAGGTGCTGCAGGCCCCACACCCAGGGCCCAGGAAGACGGGTCCAGGCTCTGCTGGAGCCCCTCTGACTACCTCGGGTTCCTGCCGAGTTGGGACTAGAGGATGTGCCTGGTGTAGCTTGGAGAGGGGATACTGGATGGTGAGTGTGTGAGGCTTAAGGGAGGGCTACCAACCGTGCCACATAGAGGGCCTCATGGCACCAATTCTAGAAGAAATGCAAACTATAGTGGACTGTCCTCTGAGATGGTGGCCTTAGAAAGTGTGGGACCACCACTGAGGACTGGATGGCAGCAGGCAGGGGAGCTGGCAGGATCGGGTTTCCCGTGCTGCTGGGTACAAGTCACCCGGAGCCTTCAACCCCAGTTGGAGGTCACGGGTCCAAAACAGGCCTCACAGTGCTAAAATCAGGGTGACAGAGGGTATGCAGGGCCCAGACGCAACCAGAAGGCACAGGTGTCCTGGGCAGCCTCCTCCCTGTGTGGCAGGGTGAGGTCTAGGCCTGGTGCCATGCAGGCCCACCCTGCGGCCACCCCTTTGTGGGGGAGCATTTAACCCTCCTGGTCACCTGCTGGGATTGAAGGATATCAACCCCATCTCAGGCCAAGAGGCCGAGTGTGGGGGGACCTGGCCCAACCCTTCAGTGTCCCACCTGTGACCTGTTGAGGGCGCCTCCTCACAGGATTGGGCCTCTGGAGCCACAAGTTACTGCTTAATTACTTACTGGATGTGGGTTGAAGAGTGAGCCCCTCCTCCCACACTGCCATGTCAGGGGTCTAAGGCACCAGGCTGTGGCTTCTCTCTTCCTGCCACGATTGCCTGTTGTAAATTGTAAAGATGCCAATTGTAAAGATCCCTTTTCTTAGGGGGCAGGAGAGAGTGCTGCTGTCTGGTCACATCGCACCTTGGCCACTCACCGTCTGTAGGCTAGCAGGGCAGGATGTTCCTTTCTCTCCTTCCCAAGAACATGTGACTGGAGGTGCGACACCTAGTCCAGACGCAGTGAGCACGCATCCCTGGTAAACGTCTGTCGTGTTATCAGCTGGACCCTGCGCTCCCTGGCGACATCTGTAGCTCCCCTTACACCCCGAGGACAGCAGGAGAACTCTGACTTCTCTGGGCCTCCAGTTACTCTCGAGTTACTGGGACTGGCTATCACACCTCGGGTTCCTTGTTGCCCAAACTGAGTTAACGGTGACCACCCTCTAAAAACTTGTGAGGAACTGAGCTGGAGTACGTACAGCATCTAGCCGGGTATGGGCGCAGCACCTGCAGTGAGGCCCGGGCCCTGGGGGGCCTTCCCAGGTCATCCGTCTCGGGGACTCTCTGCCCCACTCAGGGCCATGGAGGGGTGCTGCAGCAGCAAGGCCACACTCTAGCCACCTGCCCCCTGGCTCCTGAAATGCCACACCAACAGCCCTGAGACTGAAGGTGGGGAAGGGCCTCCATGGTCACTCCCAGGGTTAGACAGGGGCCTTTCTCACCACCAATGGCATTTTCCAAGAATTACTGATCAGCTTCATCCTCAGCCCAACCTGTTCAACTGGCACAGCCCTGAAAACATGCTGATGTCACCTGGGGGCCCGGCCCAGTTGAAGCCTAGGAGGACACAGGCTTGGCCCCAAGATCCATGCTTGAACTTGGTAGCACCTCCCGTTGCTGCCTCAAGGAACCTGTCACTCAGCTAGGAGGTGCCCATACTTCTGCTCTCCCAAGAAAGATGCCTTATTTCCTCTCATTCACTGCAACTCCCACACCTGCTCAGGTGACAGTGCTGCCCCAACCTTGGAGGTAAGGGAGGTGAGGGGGATACAGTTATCATAGGCGTCTGGCTACTTGGTGGAAAGTCCAGTATCTTCCCTCCTGCCTGGGCTCAGCCAGGCCTGTCCTGATGTCAGCCTGCTTTTGAGAGTGCGGATGGCGAGCCCCGGCGGGTTGTGCTCTCTACAGCTGCGCCTTTGATACCTTAATGGCTCAAAAGGCACAATGTGGCCCCAGGAGAGACTATCAGGGGGAGACCTGATGGTGTTTACAGGGCGAGGGGGCGTTCTCAAAGCTGCCTTGCTAGGGTGGCCCTGGCCTGGAGCTTTGCACTCTTGGGCTATCTGTCCCTAACCCTCTGTGCACCAGCCACCCCCTCATGGATTCCAGCATGGCGGGACAGCATCCCCCAAAGCCCCACCACTGGTCCCAAGCCTGCAGTGCAGCTTTCCCCAGTCCTCACTGGCCCCTGGCCAAGGTGCAGAAAGTGTTCGAGGCTGGAAAGGCCTGGACCTCATGTTGCTGCCTGCAGCACCTTCGCCTGTGGCTTCTGGGGCCCCGTTTGTGCACCGTCTTCTGCCAGCTCCTCCTGTGCTCAGTCCTAGATCCCTCACCAGGCCTGTGGCATGACAGGGCCCCTGTTCATGGGCCCAGCCTGCACCTCTGTGCCAGGCTCCAAGGCCACTCGATGGCTCTGGGGGACTGACGGGCATCTCTCAGTGCAGCGCCTCAAGGCCACCTCTCACACCCACCCCTGCAGTAAACAGCAGCTCTGTTCCTCATGCCAACACTGGGAACATGTCCCAGACTCCTCACATCCCCACTGAGCAGATCTTGTTGGGCCTGCCTTCAGAGTGCAGCGGGTCACGGCCCAGCCCTCCCAGCCTGGCCAAACACCATCCTGTGACTGTTTCTTTCTCCTCCTCTGGGGC